ATTCATCATGGCAAGGTAACTTGGTAACAGTTTTGTTCTTTTACTCATTTCTAACAATGCATAAGATTTGGACCTCGTAGTCTAATTCAAGTTTCTGGGACTGACAAATTTGAATTATGTTATTCAGACAGTTGCTTTGGTTGGAGAAAGTGGAAGTGGGAAATCAACAGTCATCTCACTGTTGCAGAGATTTTATGACCCTGATTCAGGTCACATTACATTAGACGGAGTTGAAATCCAAAAGCTACAGCTCAAGTGGTTAAGACAGCAAATGGGACTGGTGAGCCAGGAGCCTGTATTGTTTAATGACACTATCAGAGCCAACATTGCATATGGAAAGGAAGGGAATGCAACAGAGGCTGAAATTATAGCTGCTGCAGAATTGGCAAATGCTCACAAGTTCATCAGTAGTTTACAACAAGTAGGCACTACAAAATTAACAAGCTTGTCAATTTCTTTTGGCCACAAATACTATAATATAATCTATTGCCATGGTCCTGCATAAATGAGAGGGACTAGTTGATGAAAATTCACAAAATTTTATTCGGAACATTGAAGATTAACCATGTTAAGTTTGGAAAAACAATGCCGGGTTATGATACAATAGTAGGAGAGCGGGGGATTCAATTGTCCGGTGGACAGAAGCAAAGGGTGGCAATTGCACGAGCTATAATGAAGGCACCAAAGATACTACTACTAGATGAAGCCACAAGTGCTCTTGATGCTGAATCTGAACGAGTGGTTCAAGATGCATTGGACCAAATCATGGTGGATCGAACGACAATCGTGGTTGCCCATCGGTTATCCACAATAAAGGGTGCAGATGTAATCGCCGTGGTGAAAAATGGAGTCGTTGCAGAGAAAGGAAAGCATAAAACTTTAATCGGTATCGAGGATGGCATTTATGCTTCTTTGGTAGCATTGCATGCAAGTGCCTCATCTTAGATAGCTTTTATGTTCTTTTTATTCAAAGAAAAAGAAAGTATGTAATGTAATTTTATTCAGAGAGGTAAATTACCAATAGGAATAGATCATTTTTTGTTATTATATTTATTTCTTGTAAGCTCCACTTGGAGCAACAGAACACTTGTGAATGAAACTCATTATAAATTTTGATTGATTTACATAAAACTTTCCCACTACGTGATTTGGTATTTATCTATTGAGTAGCTTGAACAACAAGATTTTATTATTAGTCCTGAACTCAGAAAATGATAAGTAAATGTGCATAAGGAATGTCATCCAGTGAGCTGGCCAATGGTCCTTTCTAATAAAATCCCCAATTCCTTCTTCCCAATCCTACTTCAATTTGTATTCGAATTCGAATATACAGTCTTCAGTCAGATTTTGATTCAATTCATCCATGACGGACCGAATCAAACAATTATCATTAAGAACTAGTTAGTGCAACTGCTACTACCTGGGATGAAAGTTAATTGTTTTCCCATTCAAAATAAATACATCAAATTTCAAAGCCAAGCCATTTGAAGGAACTTTTTCTCCCCTTGTTTGACTTTTTTTCTTTTATATAAATTTTCTTCTAATTTTTCTTACGTTTGTTTTACTTACTGGCTATGTGCAGGTAGTGTGATTGAAATTTGGAGGGACATCATCCAATAAATTAACGGCGAGTCTCAAATTGACCAATTTCATATAATTTAAATCCTTAATTTACCGAAACAATTGTTTAAGGGGGAAATTGACAATTATGGTATAGTTCAAGGGCAAAACGACAGTTTAACCTAAAGAAAAACTTGGGCCAATAAGCAAAGATCAAGGACATCAAATCCATTCCTAACCTTCCAAGAAGTTCAAAGATTCCTTCTTTGTCTTTTGCTAACACATTAAGACCCAACTATCCAAATTGCATTGGTTGAAATTGTTCTCCTGAATAATAGACAAACACCTCATTTCATATTCCATGCCATAGTTTTTGTTTTGCTACCAGCTTGTCTTATTCCTTATTTTCATTTCCATGTATTCTATTCTAATCATATTTTCATAGTCCAAAAAAGAAAAAATAAAAGAGAAAAAGAAACTCTACTGTCAAAGCAGCCAGGCAAGAAGAGGAGCAGAGGACTAAAATGATATGTCTTTCAATTCAACTTGGTTTTAAAAGTATCAACTTTTTTTCTTTTTCTGGATAATTTTAATGTTTGACTAACCATGTATCCAACAACTTCTTCAACCCATTTCCTAGAATGTGGTAAACTTGTTTCCTCTTCAGTGAGTATATTGATCTTTTGGTGATATTAATGTTTACTGCAACACTTTTTGAAGTTGTTTCTCAGTTGTTTGTGGTTATGTCTCTTGTCTTTAAATTTCTCACCTTTAGAGCATGCATTAGCTGTGTGAGGCTTCCCTATGATTTCTCATTGCCTGCTGTGCCTGTGTGAGGCTTCTTAAGGTTTGGCTTGGTTTTGAAATTTTTATTTTATTTTATTGCAACAAACCCTTCTCACAGTTATTACTTGTTCTGTTGTTCCTCTGTTTTATGTTCCTGTCTGTAATCAAAATGCACATATTCTGTACCACTTAAATCGGCAACAGGTTTTCTAGTGCTGGCACGTGCACAAACACAAACACTTGCACACAAACAAAAACAAAAAAAAAACAAAAAAAGGGAATAAGTGGGTTTTTTTATAATTTTGCTGACTGATGAACTCTATATTCAATTAGATTAAGTTGGCATACGTTGGTTTATGTAGTCAATTTTGTGCCCGAAAAACAAATAAAAAAATGTACCTGGTTTCTAATTCAATCCATAAATGTTCTCTTGCAGCTCTGATCTCATCATCCAAGTTTGAGTTGCTTACTCTCAAAATATAGTTGCAACTTACTTCTCTGAGGTGCTTGTTGTAAAATATAGAAAACTTAACTAAATTACTATTGCTTCGAAAAACATGGCTGAGGAAAATCCTGCGGATGGAGTTGTAATCAAGAAGGAGGGCAAGGCAGCATCGAACGGCCACTCAGCAGTGGAGGACTCTCAAAACAACCCACAAGATACAAGCAAGACCAAGGAGGATGGCACCAAAATAGTACCATATTTACAAGCTTTTCTCCTTTGCTGAATCCTTGGATTACTTGTTAATGTCTGTTGGTACAATCAGCGCTATTGGAAATGGGGCCTCTTTGCCTCTAATGACCATAATCTTTGGAGATGTGATTAATTCCTTTGGAAAAACTGGGAATAATGAAGAAGTGGTTGACGCAGTTTCCGAGGTAAATATTGTGTGACTATAATATTGTTCTATCCAGTTCTATCAGACCTGTGACAACTGAGCTTACTTCTGTTTTTAGCATCTATTTTGACTCTCTGGTTCCTCTAACTTAGTTGAAATTATAATGAACAAGGATCAGAAATAATTTGGCCAATTCAACATTCTCAGGTGGCTCAAAAGTTTGTCTACTTGGCTGTGGGAGCAGCTGCGGCGGCATTTCTACGTAAGTACACTGAACTGCCTGCTGGTGCATCAAACAAATAATTTGGCTTTTTGGCAACTGAGATTAGTACCGTTTTCTATATGCCAGAGATGTCCTGCTGGATGGTCACTGGAGAGAGACAGGCTGCTCGAATAAGAAGTTTATACTTGAAAACAATATTGAGGCAAGATGTTGGCTTTTTTGATAAAGAAATTAACACTGGGGAAATTGTTGGGAGGATGTCAGGAGATACTGTGCTCATTCAAGAGGCCATGGGCGAGAAGGTATTTACATGCCGCACAAAAGCCTTTTAAGTTATTGCCATTTGCTCCAATAACCTCTCATTTCTTTCATTCTCTTATTGCAGGTAGGAAGTTTTATCCAGTTAATTGCAACATTCATAGGAGGCTTTGTTATAGCATTTATTAAGGGATGGCTTCTCACCCTTGTTATGCTATCTTCTATCCCCCTTCTTGTCTTCTCTGGTGCCGTCATGGGCATCATTATATCAAAGTTGGCATCCAGTGGACAAACTGCTTATTCAGTGGCAGCAACTGTGGTAAATCAGACAATTGGTTCAATCAGAACAGTAGGCCTACTTGTCTTTAAGATCTTTAAAACAAATATTTATTATTTCTATTTTCTGAGTGTAGAACTAAAACTGATTGGTGTTCCCAATTCAGGTTGCATCGTTTACAGGAGAAAAGCAAGCTATAGCTGATTACAACAACTCCTTAATTAAAGCTTACAACTCTGGTGTGCAAGAGGGTTTGGCATCTGGGTTCGGAATGGGTTCGGTTATGCTGATTGTAATGTGTAGTTATGCTCTGGCGGTATGGTTTGGAGGAAAGATGATACTTGAAAGAGGATATACAGGAGGGGAAGTCATTAATATAGTTTTCGCTGTGTTGACTGGCTCCATGTAAGTTGCATATCAGTAAAATTTAATGAACAAATTTGTTGATCCTAGCACTATTGTACAAGTTAACATGTTTGCGTGATCTACTGACTACTCCCACTCCCCCCTTCAGTCCAAAATTTGATATATGATGCTTCAGAAGATAGAGATATAATCGTATAACAATGTTTCTTTGATAAATTTTTAGGTCTCTTGGGCAGGCGTCTCCATGCTTGAGTGCATTTGCTGCTGGACAAGCTGCAGCTTATAAGATGTTTGAGACAATTGACAGAAAGCCAGAGATTGATGCTTATGACACTAATGGGAAACAATTACTTGATATCCGTGGAGACATAGAACTGAGTGATGTTTATTTTAGTTATCCTGCAAGACCGGATGAACAAATATTCCATGGATTTTCTATCTCAATACCTAGTGGTGCAACTGCTGCTCTGGTTGGAGAGAGCGGAAGTGGTAAATCAACAGTTATCAGTTTGATTGAGAGATTTTATGACCCCCAAGCTGGCGAAGTTCTTATTGATGGCATTAATCTCAAAGAGTTCCAGCTGAAATGGATCAGACAGAAAATAGGCCTTGTCAGCCAGGAACCCGTTTTATTTGCTTGTAGCATTAAAGATAATATTACCTATGGGAAGGATGGTGCAAACACTGAAGAAATAAGGGCTGCTGCTGAGCTTGCCAATGCTGCTAAATTCATAGACAAACTGCCTCAGGTTAAATTCATTTAAACTTTCGTCTAAGTTCTGGTATTTTGTTCTCTGAACTTTTTGTGTGAATTCTTAATTTCCACGACCATGGAAGGTTATTGAGACATCCAGTGATCTTATCATTTTCTTACATTCAAAGATGGAAATACAGATAGGTCACATGAATTTTCAAAAAAAACTCGGATGATTTCGAACAACTCATTTAATTCCTTTTTTTTCTTATTTGTGGTTTTCTGACTTATGCATTTAGGGACTAGACACAATGGTTGGTGAGCATGGAACTCAGCTATCTGGGGGCCAAAAGCAGAGAGTTGCTATAGCTAGAGCAATTCTCAAAGACCCAAGAATTCTACTTTTAGATGAAGCCACGAGTGCTCTTGATGCAGAATCTGAGAGAATTGTGCAGGAGGCACTGGACAGAATTATGATCAACCGGACTACTGTCATTGTAGCCCACCGCTTGAGCACAGTAAGGAGTGCTGACACCATAGCTGTTATACATCGAGGAGTAATTGTTGAAAAAGGTGATGCATTTGTTTATGTTGTCCTGTTCTACCATTTGAAGGCCAAAACTTATTGTCTATAGTTCAACATACTGTTACAATTCACATACTGATCGTTTTCAAGTGAGCAGGTCCACATTCTGAACTAATTAAGGACCCTGAAGGAGCATATAGCCAGCTTATAATGTTGCAAGAAATGAGCCGCGTGTCAGAACAAACTGCTGTAAGTCATCACAAAAGGCTTAGCAGCGTGGATTCTCGAGGAAGTAGTAGCCGTCATTCCTTCTCAATCTCATATGGTGTGCCCACTGCGGTAGTTTCTCTTAAAACAGCATCTGATATTCCTGCTTCAGCATCATCAAAAGTGCCTCCAAAAGTCTCACTTCGCCGCCTGGCTTACCTGAACAAGCCAGAGATCCCAGTATTATTACTTGGTACTATAGCTGCAGCAGTCAATGGGGCAGTCTTAC